GGGCGGGCGCAGTGCGCGGAGCGGAGCGCAGCAGCCGCAGCCATGCCGGTGGACCTGGGGCTGTGGAGCGGGCCGCTGAGCCTCACCGAGGTGGAGCAGAAGCCGGCGCACCCGCTGCGGGTCAAGTATGGCTCCGTGGAGATAGACGAGCTGGGCAAGGTGCTCACGCCCACTCAGGTAAGCAGGGCCCGGCCCCGCGGTGCGTCGCACGGGGGCGCGGCAAAATGGCGGGTGGGGGTCGGGCCTCCTGCGCCTTCGTTATGGCAGCCCCCGTCGGAGCCTCCCCGGGTGCGGGGGGAAGAGAGAGGTGGCTGCTTTGCTGCCGGCTCTTGCGCGGGGGTGGCGCGGTCAGGCCTGGCTCCGTGCTGCAGGAGAAAGCCCGGAGGCCGGGTGCGAGCTGGCGCGAACGGCCTTGAACTCCTCGGGTGCTGCTGCCTGCGTGGTCACAGGTGGCCCCCAGCACGGCTGGCTGCTTGTGCTAACCCCGTCACCCCTCCAGGTCCAGCATCGCCCCACCAGCATCGAGTGGGATGGCTGCGATCCCCAGAAGCTCTACACCCTGGTTCTCACAGACCCGGATGCTCCCAGTAGGAAGGACCCGAAGTTCAGGTAATGGGGGCGTGCAGCTCCCTGTCTTGCTGGGGAAAATGGAGCATCCCTCTTGGTCTCAGTGGAGGCTTAGAAGGAGGTCGGGAGTGTGCTCTGCCGAAGGTGCAGCAGGGAGGCTGTGGCTTGGGATAGAAACACTGTCCTTGCATCTCTCCTTGAGACAAGGACAGCACGGGGAGCAGCAGCCGCTTTTGCCAGGATTCTTTGGAGGGCTGTCGTAGCTTGGAGAAGCACAGCATCTGCTGCTCGCTCTGATGGGGTACGTTTGTGAGCTGGAATTAGGAGCCGTGGAGTCTTAAACCTGGGACCAGCTCACCTTTTTCAAATCAGGCTTGGAAGCGTGCAGAGTACCCACTCCTAGGGGTCGGGCTCTGGGTTTCCTGGAGCTGCAAGGCAGGATGACAGAGCGGGTTTTGAGGGGCTCTGCACCCTGAAGGAAGCAGTACCTGCTCCAGGACTGGTGCTCTTTCCATTTGGCAAACCAGGAACGGCAGCTGTTAGATTCAGTTACCCTGCACTGATAGCCTTACAGAAACAAAGGTCTTAGCTGGGGCTGTGATGCGGATGATTATTTTTTGCCTTTTCCTTTCAGGGAATGGCACCACTTCCTGGTGACCAACATGAAAGGCAACAACGTGGGGAGCGGGACTGTGCTGTCGGATTACGTCGGCTCCGGACCTCCCAAAGGAACAGGTCGGTACCCGGCCGCGTGTGGATCAAACGCGGTGCGCGGGGGAGGCCTGCAGAAAGCTGGCTGTCAGCTTGGAGGGTGCTGCGCTGCAGGAACGGCCCACACAGGGCTGCCCGCACGCCTGCGCGTAGCCAGGCCAGCACAGGCACCTATCGCCACTGTCCCCTTGCTGGCTGCCGACAGGCGGGCGCTGTTCTGCCCGCAGTGGGTGGGCGGCGTTGCCTGGTGGGGGGAGCACTAGCTTAGGCAGGACACGAGCCATTCGGGCGTATCTGGCGCGTCTTCTCTAAGCGCCTTTAGCCCATCACACTTCACCTTCCGATCGTGGGTAACGCAGGCATCTGTTTCCCTGCGCTCCTGTCGCGTCAGAGCAAACCTTACACCCGGGAGCTGCGGGTGAGTGGCACCTGTAACGCCGTCCCCTCCCCGCAGGGCTGCACCGCTACGTCTGGCTGGTGTACGAGCAGCCGAAGCAGCTGACCTGCAATGAGCCCATCCTCTCTAATCGCTCTGGTGACAAACGAGGCAAGTTCAAGGTGGCTTCATTCCGCAGCAAGTACGAGCTGGGGGTGCCAGTGGCTGGCACTTGCTACCAGGCGGAGTGGGATGACTACGTGCCGAAGCTCTATGAGCAGCTGTCGGGGAAGTAGGGCGAGGGGACCCGCAGAAGCACTGTGCAGCACTGCCTGCGCCCCCGGAGCTCGGGCCGGGCAGAGCACGTCGCTGTAGTTTTGTTTGATTAGTGAGCTGAACCCCACCGCTCGCTGGAACTGTAACGCTGTCGCTGTCCCCGGCCTGAACCTGCCTCCGTGCCGGCATGGCCCAGCCCTGTGCTGCACTTCAGCACCCGTAGGTGCGGGCGATGGCTGGCTAGGCCAGCTTCTGCCGAGGCGGCCCCGGCAGGGCCACCCCCTCCAGCTGACCTGCTTAAGGGAAACCGCAGCCTTTGCGAGCCGGCGTCGCTTCAGCGTCTCTGCTGTACCGAGGCGGCATTAACGCAGTGGTGGTGCGGGTACAGAACCACTTTGGGGCTGGTGCCGGCTGCGTAGTCGCGCCTTTCCGGGAGAGGAGATGGCAGTCTAAGGGAAACTCCCCCTTTTTTTATTTTTACCCTCCACTATTTGGCCAGCGCCTCCGCTTCGCTGAAGTGAACCACTGAAGCAGCGGAGGGATCGCTGGTAGGAAGGCAGGGGAGCTGGTTGATAGCACTACTTTCTGTTCTCTGTTGCCACTCAAAGCTGAGAGACCACTTCATTTTGTTCAAGTTCTGTTGTGACCCGGTGTTCATGTGCCCTTTGCTCACAGTGCAATTAAAAACTTCCCAAGGTGGATGGCGTGGTTGTCTTCTTGGGGGAGGAGGGGAGCACCTTGGCCTCGTCGGGTTCCTTTCCTCCTCCTGACAGAGAGGCTGGACCCTTGTACACGTTTAAATCTCCTCGCCTCGAGGCGCAGCTTGCTGTCGCAGCGAAGGTTCGTGGCGAAGGGAACGCTGGCGGGCTGGCTTTAGAAATTGAGAGAGGACGCTTGGTTTTCCAGGGCGATTCCGAAGCCGCCATCGCTCAGCAGCCGCAGGTTCATTTATCCCCTAACCTTGCCCTTCCTCGCAGCCGAGGGGGCAGCCTGCGCTCACAGGTCTGTCCTGCGCCGTGGCCAGCTGTGGGCAAGCAGAGCCAGCTGTGAACGAGCCCAGCGCCTTTAGCCTGCGTTCGGCAGCTGGCAGAGGAGCTGGTCCCTGCCTTTCCCGCGGGCTCTCCCCACGGGCTGAGCCTCGGGCGCGGTGCTCCACGGCACCCGGTGGGAGCCCCCGCCACCGCAGCAGCGCCAAATTTCACCTGCTTTCAGCACCAGCTTTACTGACCTGAAGCCGCTTCCCAGCCAAGCTGCAGGGTCCCCAGTGGTTTTCCCCGATCCTCCCAGCAGCTTCCAGTGAGGCCTGGTGGTGTCTCCTAAGCGCTTAAAGCAGACAATGAACATTTGGTCCAATCTGGCATCTTTAAAAGGTTCAAAAAGATGAAGCCAAGGTAATTCTGCTTCACAGAAGGGGAAGCCTGCCCCCCTTTTTTCAGCAAAGCCCCCGAGGTTTCTCCAGCCCTGCCCGGCGGGGGCGGGGCACGAGCCGCTTTCCTTCTTCCCACAAAGAGACAGCGAGGCATTGTGATGAACACTTTTATTTACAAATATAATTAAAAGCTCTGACAGTTATTCATGCTCTTCCTTGGAACCTGAAAAATGTTTTTTTATCTTTTGTTGGGGTTTTTTTTTGGTTTTTTTTTGTTTTGGTTTTTTCTTTTTTTTTTTTTTTAAAGTGCATGCAAAAGAAGTAAAGCCTTTTTTTTTTCCTCTTTTTATTGTAAGAAAATACACAGTTTGAAAGTGTGAATAATGCAATATTTATGACCAAGATCATGGGGTTGGGGGTGGACTTGGGGGAGGAACAAAAAGAAAAAAAAGGAAAAAGAAAGGGCTGGGGATGATCTGACAGACAGTGTTGAGCTCCAAGTACTGAACCGGAGAGTGGGGGGGGTGGCTGGGAGCAGGAGGGAAGGGGGGAAAGAAGTAAAAAAATTTTTGATCAGAGAAACAGTTAAAATACAATATGAAAATAAGTAAAAGCTCTCCTTAAATTCCTTCTATACACAAAATACACGATTTGACAAAGCCCAATTTGTGCTACTGGGATCCTGTGGGCTCATTTAAGTGTATTCACATTCTCTGCGACAGCAGAAAATGAATATGATACAATCAAGAATATGCCGAGGAGCGAGGTCTCATCCCCGCCTCGCCTGGCATGGTTCTTCTAAAAATCACCAGATCTTCGCCCCGCCCCTCCCCACCCCCAAAAAAGTAATAATATGTCACCACTGATATGTACATCACGATTAAGGTTTTTTTTTTTTTTTCTGTAAAATGTATCAAATTTTTCCATCTTTAATAAAATTTTTTATTATTTAATTATTCCTGATGAATAAATACCAAAAAAATAAAAATAAAATAAAATTATGCAGCAGCTAGTTAAGGTAAGGCTGCGGATTTAGTCTCTCTCCCCCTGGGTTTGTATATATCATTTGATTATTATTATCATTTTTTTTTTTTGCTTGTACTTTCATTGATTGGTGGTAAAATGAGTGATTGCTCAAAAGCAACATACATCCACTTTTTTTTTGAATAAATACCAAAAAAATAAAAATAAAATAAAATTATGCAGCAGCTAGTTAAGGTAAGGCTGCGGATTTAGTCTCTCTCCCCCTGGGTTTGTATATATCATTTGATTATTATTATCATTTTTTTTTTTTGCTTGTACTTTCATTGATTGGTGGTAAAATGAGTGATTGCTCAAAAGCAACATACATCCACTTTTTTTTTTTTTTTTTTCTCCATTAAAATCGTCTCCAAAGTTTTCACTGAAACATTTTTAATCATTGCACAGAGACATCAATACTGTGACATACTATGGAAAAGACCGCCAGGAGCTGTCCTGCACCGGGACTTGACACAGGGGGAAAGGGGGCCCCTGATGGAGTAAGAATATACAGGCACTAGTCCGACACGATGTCAGTAAGAGAGACAGAAAGAGAGAGAGCACGCCCGTTAACATGGGGAATGTTGGTTTTGCAAAGTTTTCTCGTTATTTTGTTTGCTTTTTGTCTTTTGTTTTTCAATGGCAAAAGAAATTGAATCTCATCTATAGTCCTCCTTGGGATATTCTAACGTCACCAAATTCCCAAAGCCCATTCGCAAGCTCTCCATGTCAAACGTTTCAATCTCTCGCTCCTGCCTTTCCAACAGAAACTTTATCCTCTCGCTGCGTTCCTTCTGGAGGGCGGCTAGCTCCTCTTCGATCTGAAAGAAGCAGAGTCAGCGGCCCCTTAGCAGAGCCCAAGCGCCCCGGGGACGGCAGCTCCCGGCCGGCCAGCACCGGGTGCCGACCCCGCGCCGAGATCGAGACATGTAACCGGGGCAGCCCGCCCGAAACGTACCTTTTGTTCGAGATGCGCCCTGCGCAGCGACACCCGTTGCTCCAGCTTCTGGAGTTCTCTTTCGTGCTGTGCTTCTGTCTGCATCTTAATTTTGCTCTGGTAAGCGTTGAGCAGCTCCATCTCCTGCTGGAGTTGCAGTCTCAGGGCTTGGCATTCTGCTTCTTGGGCCTCATCCAGCCGTAGCTGTAAGATCATCGGGGAAAAAAAAAAAAACCAACATTCAAACCTCCGCTAGGAACTTCTCTGCCCCGCCGCTAGCGACACACCGCTCTGCCTTCCCAGAGCCGGGGAGCCTCTGGTGTTGGTGGCAGGAGGAGAAAGCAGGAAGGGCTTCATAAAGAGCTGCTTCCCCGCTCCGGCGGAGGCGGGAGCCTCGGAGAAGATCCGATTCTATAACCCCAGCACACGAGGGGCAGCAGGGGAAGGACGCATGTCCTGCAGGATGCTTATTGCAGGAGGGAAAACGCCGCCTGACGCATTATTTAAAACAGTTGTTACAAACACAACTGCGTCGCTGACCATCCGGCGGCCGGGAAGGGGCGAACACCGCGTGCTGGCAGGACTGATGGCCCGACTGCGCCCCACCTCCACGCACCTCGGGCAGGGACCCCCGCCCAGGGACAGGAGGCGCCGGACGCCGCACCTACCGCTTGGGAGGCCATCATCTCGTTGATGCTCTGCTCATACTGCTCTGCCAGGATGGCGAGCTTCCTCGTCTGCTCGTCCTTCAGACTCTTCAAAATTGTCTTGTGCTCACTCTTTGGAGTTACTTCCAGCTGGTGATTCTTCAGTGCTTTGTACTGCTTAGTTTGCACTTTGCATGTGTCCTGGAACTGCTTTTTGATCTGCATTTCCATCGCCTGCCAAGGAAGGAACGATGTGAAGAGCACGAAGAGCTTTGGGAACGGAGAGGTTCTAGTACCCCCCAATGGGCAGGTTGGTGGGAGACAACCACAGCTCCCCCGTGCTCCGCGCCGTCCCCTGCCCCTGTGCCCGGGCGAGCAGGGTGTGCTCCGCACGCAGAGCGATCTAACGACCGGCATCGGCTCGGGCCCTGCTTCGGCACCGACCACGGGCCCCGTCGGCGCGGGCCGTGCTCCGCCCCCGACCACGGGCCCGGGCTACCAGCCATGAAGCCCTCCTCAGCCCAGGGCATTTCCATCTTCTACCGCTGCTTCCCGCAGGTCGCCCAGCCCATCGCCCTCCCGCCTGCCTCCCAAAAAGTGCTTGCTTTTTCAAGGCCTCCCATTTTACTACCGCACCAAGGCTTCCACATGCCTCCTCCCCTACCTCGACCACACACTACACAGAGGCTGCGGGCCTGAGAACTAGCGAGGGCGAGACAAAGTGAATAAAAGCAACGTGCCTTTTTGGGCATTCAGAGGAGGAGCAGAAATCTCCCACAGCAAGCACCTCAGAGGTTTCTAACCAACCTGCAGCCGAACTGGGACAGAGCACAGTGCTCAGCACACCCACGTTCTCTCTCTCTGTTGACTCTGAAAGCAAGGAAGCATCACCCAACCCCTTTCCATATCAAGGCTGACACCAGCAAGGGCCTGAAGAAAGCACAGCTCATCAGAAGCAAATTCTGTAATACTTTGCTATGGACTCGCCTGTTTTTACCCAGCAGCCTCAATCAGCACGGCACTTAAAAAAATCCTCAGTGAGCTCTTTGCTATAATAGCCCGCAACTTTCTTAGAGCAGAGCAGCCCTGTGCAAAGGAAAGGGATACAAGGGAGAGCACACGCTGCTGGTGGAGAACGGTGGTTCTGCAGCAGGGATGCAGGCAGCAAGCACACAGACCAGCCTGCCCGGCAGGACAGAGGCTGGAAGAGGAGGAAGGAAAGCTTCCAGCACCTTCAGGTTCTTTGGTTGCTGCCGGAGCTCCATGAAATGCTTCCTGTGCAGCTCCCGCTCTCGCCGCTTGTTGTATTCCAGCTGATTCTCGAGCTCAGTCTGGTGCTGCAGCCGGATCAGGTCCATTCGCAGCTTCTGCAGCGTGTGCAGCTGCCTGTACTCCAGCTCGCGCGTCGACTCGTCGTGCCGGATCAGCATGGCATGCTCCATTTCTTTCTGGGTCCGCTTCTTGTTTAACTCCTGCACAAGAGGACAGCAGAGCACAAGACAAAAAGCTGAGGCGCGATTCTCTCTGCCCTGAGATGCAGGAGTTGAATTTGAGAGGCCAGGTGCCCTGGTCACTCCTCTAGGCGACATCAAGGACGTCCATGTGCCACAGGGAAACACAAACCCAGCAGCACAATGGGAACGCTTATAGAGCAGCCACCTAGCATCCATCCATCCCCCCGTAACCTGCTCCTCTGGCAGCTCCTGTGTCGCCCAGGGAGTCTCCAGCACTGGGACCACACGCAAGCCCTCCGCGATTGCCGAGAACCATGGAAGTTTTTAATAAATCCATCCTGGGGTGCCCGGAGCTGGGGGGGCTGGGCTGACTGACAGACTCAGGGGCTCTTATTTGTCTGTTTTAAATGACCCCGAGCCCCTCCTAGGCACTGGGAGATGAGGCTTCTCTCGTAACACACTAGAATGGCCAAAGCAGAGGCGAACAGCTCCAACGCGCCACATCAGGTAAGAGAAAGCATTTAATCTGCCACTGTGTACAGGCGGGTTACGTTTTTCAAAATGAGGATACAGCCCGAGCCTCACACAATTTTGCAGTGTGCACAGAAGAGTTCCCGCACGTGGTGCCCTGCAGTCTAGCAAACCCTTCACTGAGTTACAAGCCAAGGAAGAGGAAGATACCGGATCCTCTCCCTGATTACTGCCAATATTTCTGTCTCAAGGTATCAGCAACAACCTGTGGAGCCCGGAGCTGAAACCGGCTCAGTCAAGCAGTGATTACAGCTGTACCCCTTGCTGGTATTTGGTGACCTTCACAGATGGTCTGCTGGTACGTCTCAGTTTCAGCGCTCAGCTTTACAAACTCATCGCTGTGTTTCGTGCTCGAGTGAGACGGGCACAGCGGGGGCTGCCTCGCGCTACGCACACGCACGGCGCCCAGCACAGGGAGGGCCCAGCGTTGGCTCAGTCTAATGAGTTTCTGCAGAAGCAGCAAAAGCAATCTAATTGCTCCGAGTTGTTGCTTGCATGTTGTAATCCTGTTGTATCTCTCAACATCAGCACCTGCAAACAGGTGCTTCAGCCCCTTTGGCTGTTACAACTGTGACAGGTTTAAGCTAGGAGGATGGGGAAGGAAACAGGGCCAGGTCTCGTCTCTGCGTTCTTGGCCAGAAAGATGTTGCGCGTGTTTACGCTTAAGCAAAACTCGCACCTTGACAGCCAAGATCAAAAATTTGATCTGCTGGTGTGCTGAAATCATTTCCCACCTGCGCAAAGGCAGGCAGCACACTCAGACAGCACGTCAGCCCGTGCAGTGAGCTGTGGCACGCATGCCTTCATCTCGGGACGGGACAACCAGCCTCTCTTGTGCCCATTCCACACCTGATTTCAGCTGACACAGCGTGAACAAACAGAGGCACTCCACTTCTCACAAACGCTTTTACAAAAAGAACCTCTGTGGTTACTTAAAACATCAAGACAAAACATCCTTGAAGTCTGTCTGATCCAGTGAATTTGAACTGGTTAGTAGGGACGTTATTTTCAGGAAATACACACTTAGATCGTTCTGAAAATTAGGTCTCTCTTAAGAGCTTAAATGCAGGGGCTCAAAGGAGTGTTTCTTGGTTAAAATACCATGCTAGGTGACTGAATTCGGTTCTCATCCCTGCCACACAGCCTATATGCTGTGATAAGGGTGCCCAAATCTGATTTTTCACAGTCATTCATTTTCAGGGTGTCCGAGTTGAGATGTCTGGATGTGATCTGCAAAGCAGCTGAGCAGCCCCAGGCACATCTGAAGTCAAGGGCAGCAGAGCTCTGAACAGGTAAAATACAGGGCAATGTTAAGTACGCTGGAAAATTTGATGGTAGCAGACTAAGTACATGATTATAAGAAATTTCTGATCCCTCACTCTCAGCCTTTACTAAAATACCTTCTCATCTGACAGTCTTTATCCAAAAATAACATTCATGAAGCATTCAGAAACTACAGCGACTACCAGAGAAAAATCTGCAATAATTCTTTCTCCAAAGTGGGATTTGACGACAGGCAGCCTGTAAGGCAAGGGTTAATAACAAATGAGGAAAAGCAAGATGTTCAATAGCTTCTCGTTAACAAACGATCGCCCATTCTGTGCACTAATTTGAACAGAGCCCAATGGAAAGGCAACAGCTGATTATTTATAAGTACTTACATACATTTGTAGACAACCAGAATGCAGACACAAGAGAGGACTGAATTTTTGGTATTTCTTACATTTGTAGCATTTCATTCTCCAACCTTCATATTGTTCTTTTAAGGTTATTGCTGGTTTATTACACGTTTCAACTGTGTAAGTTTTCTTTAGCCAATAAGTCGAACTCCTCGCGTGATGCTTTCGGCCATCCCACAGCTCTCCCGCAGGTGGCCCTGGCACTCGACATGGCACAAACTGCCCTGTGCTGTGAAAGAAGCCCAACAGGATCCCCCAAAATCTAACACCCAGAACCTCAGATGAAGCATCTGACCCAGACTGGGTGGCCCACATAACGTATCTGTCTGCAAGTCAACCATGCCACCCCTCCTCAGTTAATAAAAGCAGCCACATTGGTGTGGAAAACTACTTCCCAAAACACGTTTCCCACATTTTTCTCAGTTCTGTTTAGCAACTGGAAACATGAAGATCTAATGTCAGTCAGCAAACTGTTTTACAAACGTGAAGCTAAAACAATTAAAGAAATGCTTGGGAAAGGAAGTGAAGAGTGCCATACTTCCCGAATGTTCTGCTGCTCCATCTCATGCCTCTTGATCATCGTTTTTCTCTTGAAGAAACGGCAGTTTTTGTCGTAGTAGAGTCTCTGCTGGCTGAGAAGATGGGCCTCCTCTTCAGCCTGTGTGTGCTGCAGGTTCTCTTTATGTTTGGATATTCTTTCTTGCTTCTCTTTCTTCGGCGTGCTGTGGTCCTCATTCATTTCCTACATGCATACAGGGTCAAAAACAAGACTTCCCTTAGGATCACAGTGACAGAGGACTTGGAGGACCTTCAGTCACTGGCTACTCCTCTGCCATTCAATTCACAAACGGACACCAAAATCCTGACTACAACACCAGGCACCAACAGAACCAGATTCGTCACCTGGCCGTGCCCGGCCCTCCTGCCTCTAGAGCTGTATTATGACCCACCACGAGGAGGAAAAAGCTAAACACGAACATCTCAGGGGCTGAACAGCACAGCGAGGAAAAGACAGTGACACGCCACTGCAGCAGAGGCTCTGGCTGCCCAGGGGAGAGAATGGGTCAAGCTCCTCGGCTCCCTGCCCAGCTCTGCGCCTCCTCTACAAAGGAGTCCAGCTTGGGCTTCAGTTTTATTTCAGTAGGACTCATGCTCAATTGAATCAGATACCTTACAGGGCTCCTTGCTGTTCATTTTCTCACCTCTCCATTCTCAACAGCAAATGATTCTGTGATGTGGTGGGGACGCTGTACTTAAGTTATATACTGTTACTTCTTTTTCTAATTCATATAAGCGATCACAGGGCTCTTAGTCAAGTGACATCTAAATGGCTGCTCTGATTACTTACGGCTTTAGCAAAAAAAAAAAAAAAAAAAAAACACAAAAAAGGGAAAAAGGAGAAGAAGAATTCATAAGCATCTGCTTCAGTGATGTTTGAGCAGATTTACAGATGCTAGGTTTGTGAAGGAAAAAGGCTAAAATGAAAGAAACCTAAGTCCTGTACAGTTTTCCCTTCATCTGGGTATCAGGTATCTTAGTGTGTCTATAAGAATTAATTATCTACTTCCCTCTGTTCTTCCTAATCTATTTATGTCTCAACAGAGTAAAGTGCTGTTCTCTTGTTTTCCAAAAGCTGAACGCTGACTCCATGGCTTAAGAATCTTGACTGTTGTCTAGTTAATACAGTGGATTGTTGCTGTTACAGCAACTGAAGTTTCTCAAGATACGTATTGGTAGACTAGCCTTCATGCTTAGATTCCGACTTTTTTTGAGTCGGAGATAAACTGGGATTACCAAGCAACAATAATTCAGGGAAGACGTTATTGCATTATAATGATTGATTATTAAGATGATGTGAAGTGGTTTTCTTTGGTCTCTGCATGCTGTGCCAGGTCATAATACCCAAAATTGAATTGTTTCAGTATTTGATGCAATCACAAATACAGACTAATTGACTTGATTTTTTCCGGTTTTAAAAAAAAAAAAAAAAAAAAAAATCCAGATGAGGAAAAAGGAGAAGAAGAATTCTCTATGAAGTCCCATTTTCCCTCATCACCCTTGGTTTCAAAGATTCTGCTCTACAGCAAATTGTGAAGGCACCTCTAGCACCTTTAGAGATTATTCTAGAAATACTGCCAGATGCTCCCAGTTCCGGAAAGTTTACTTGCTGAGAGTCTAAATTTGCTTCCAAGCATGACAGTATCCCTTAAACCCCTGGGCTGGCCTAGGTTTATCAAAACGAAAGTCTAGTTCACGTTCATTCCACACCCCTTCAGCCCTGAAAATGACGGTTTCTTGCCTCTTTAATCTTTTCCTTGCAAAGCTTGTATTGTTTCTTCTGACTTTCTAAAAAGGTCGCCAGGTCTTTCTTTTGCTGAGCCAAAATCTGTTGCTGGAATTTCTTTTCATCTGCTGCAGCTGCCTTTGCCTGCAAGGCACAGAGAGGAAAAAAAAAGAAAAAAAGGGAAAAAATCCAAAGAGTCAAAGGAGTGAGGGAGCAGGTACTGAATCCAGCCCAAATCAGTCTTCTGTTGTGCGTTTTTTGGTCTGTCAATCTCCCATCACTGTGCTGGACAAAGCCATGAGCATTCAGCCACATGAATGCTGCTTGCCCAAAAAACCCATAATGCCCCCATACATTTAAGACTTTCCTCATGCTTCTTACCTCTCCACCAAAACCACCCCAGAGGGTAAAACCCCACTGGTTTACCATAGGGATTACCACGTTGGTTTTTAAACGGACTGAGTAACAGCAGCAAGCTTTGTCACTGCCTCAGCCATGAGGCAGAAGCCCCCTCCAAGGTCTCCACAGAGTCTGTCCGCCTCTTTTAGCTGGCTATCAGTAGCTCCAGAATTGGTCGATGCCAATGGAGTGCCCATCATCCCGAAGGCTGACGTGTAGCTGTGAAGCTGTTTCACAAAACCAGCCAGGGCAGCTCCAGGCAGTAACCACACAGTGCACTTAAGTGCACGGGGTTTAAGCAGTACTTCCACAGCCGCCTCCTAGAGATTTGGTACGCACCTCTCCCTCCAATCTTCTTGTGCAGCCTGTAACTCTACTCACCTCTTTCTCCATCACAGCCACTTGCTTCTTAGCCAGCTTCTCCAGCTCAATGGACGAGTTGTTGGCATGCGTCTCCACCTCCTTCTGCAGCTTGAGGCGGTGCTCGTCCATCTCGGCCTTCAACTTGTTTTCCAGGGCGATCAGCTGCTTCTGGTGCTGGCGCCGCATCCGCTTATATCCTGACATCTGTTCCCGCAACTCGTTCTCCTGCTCATGCTCATGGATCTGTCTTGTAACCTGATGTCAGGAAAAGGGGAAGAAGTGCTACGTGGCCTTCTTCACAGACAAGCGGTCTCCGTATTAGCTGCTTACCTGTCAACCAGACCCTGCTTTGCTGCACGCTTAGAAATCAACTTTCAGGGAATGCTGTTCCAGGTTTCAGAGAGTGCTATTATTTAATATCACAAACCACGCCACAAGGTTTGTCTCTCTTGATTTCCACCCCCCACCCCCCCCCTTAATAAGAATTTTACATATGTTTTCAGTAATATAGCAGAAAAACGTCATGATATGAATAAAGGAAACAGCAGGTTACTTCTGGAAACAAAGGTAGCTGCTGGATAACCTTCTGCAGACATAGGACTCAAATCGTGAGGGTGCTGTGGACTTACAAGACGGCATCCATTTTAAGAAACCCCCCAACCCACCCATCCGTTCCTTCCTCCCCAAGTCACCGCGGTTCCAATTCAGTCCCTCAATACTATTTTCTGCAACGAGTAGCCTCCTTCAAAATTTCTTCTTAAAATTCACGAGGATGGCAGGCTGAGCTCACTCCCTACCGGAACTGAAAGTTTTCTAACAAGGGAACACTGTTCTGGAACTGTGTGCTCTTAACAAGATTGATCAGATGGTCTAAGCAGATTTTAAACCCTGCTCAGCTGAAACAAACCCACAAGTTCCACATTCATTTCCATGCCTAAGTGCATCCGTGTGAAAGGAGGAAAAAACTCCAGTAAGGTGTGCCAAAAATTTTCAGAAGAAAATGCAAATGGTAACGCTTCCATTTCAAAAGAAAAAAGTGTCCAAGACTGATATTTTTGGTTTTATTTTTTATAGAGTCCCAGGAACTTCACATATAAAGATCTGCTGATATTTTATGATAGACCTGGGAGCCAAAAGCTGGAGCCCTTGGTACATGTGTAGAGGTGCGGTCCCTGATTCTGTACAAGGGGACCTCTCCTTCTCACGCTTAACAAGTACAAAGCAAAGAGCTCAGCCCTTTGAAGGTGATCACGGAAGCTTTATGAACCAACAGCCCTTCCTGCGGTCTGCCAGAGCCCAGCCTTCCCGATGAATTTCTCCGTAGCAGTCAAGAGAAAGAAGTGGCACCTACTACAGCACTGCTGTCATTCGAAGGCTATTTTTCAGAGACCTTCAAAGTAAGTTCAGACCTAGGATGGGATGCACCTACAGACCTGAGAAGGCTCAAGTTCAACAGAAGAAGAGCCACTGCTCTACCAAGCAGCAAAGCTAGCCGGCTTGCTAGCAGCCCTGTGCTTCAGGATGAGTAGCTGATAGGAAGCAGCGATCAAGTAAGAGCTCCAAAAACAACATGCAAGTTTAACAACACAACTGATGTGTCACCCAAGGCAGACGGCATGCTGCCACCTGTCTCAGCTCAAATGACTACCAGCACTCGGGAGGGGTGTGAAGAGGAGGTTAGGAAGAGCCTTGCACAGCCTTCACCTTGAAAGAGAGATTAACAACAATTTACAGTAAATAGTTAGCAACCAAGAAAATTATAGCCAGAGTCCCAGACTAGGAACAAGACATGAAAGGATGAAGCTACTGAAGTGGACAGCCTCTGGTTTCCCCCCATCCCTTCCAAAGACAACCCCAGAGAGAAGAGCAAACACCTAATTGCAAAGAAAACAAAGAATTAGTCTGACTACGGTGCTGTATCGGGCTCCATGACCAGGACGCGATGATGGTGGGTTCACCGCATTAGTGAAGTCAAACATCAACTACGAGGTAAGTGATGATGCATCAACCACATCCTCCTTGTACAAGGAATTTTGGGATGTTATTCTGAAGTTGACTAGATTAAATATATATTTACACCTCAGCAACTGGTGTAACACAGCAGCCTTCAAATGCTCGAGACTGGGTAATGAAACAGACCCAAGCCAGATACCAGGAATATGTGAGATTGTAGAACTTACTACAGAAACACACACACAGTATCGGCCCTGTGTATTGCTAGAGTTCAAAAAGCTTTTCTGTTGTTTTTTTTTTTAAAGCCTAACAATGACAGCTATGCTTTGCAGAAGTTGGTAAGCATTTGTAGGAGCTTGCGTATTTCAGGCAAGTTCAGCAAGAATAAGATCTCTGACAGAAGCTTCCAGGTAATGCGAGTTTCTCTGAGAAGTCATCCGAGTTAATTATAAGAGACAGATGTCAGGGAAGACAGGCAAAACCCCAACATTTCACATATGCCATTTACTATGTTAAATGACATACGACTTGCAGGGAACAGACTTGGTCAGGGACTTGCAGAGGTGCGGAGATACGGTAACTACCATGCAGCAGTACAAGATCATAGAATCATTTAGGTTGGAGAAGACCTTTACGATCATCAAGTCCAGATCTTCCTGGATGTGCTATTTTTGAGGCCCGGCCTTTTTGTGAGCAGCGGGATCTTCTGCGGCACACTCCGTTCCAAGAAGTTGGCAGAACAACGCAAACAGCAAGAGCATAAGAAAAAACGGATCTAAGAACCCCCTAGCAACTTTGCCAGTCTCCCCTTTGGTTTAATCTCTAATGAGATCTAGAATATGCGCTTGTTTTATTTACAGCAGGTGAGACATTAAAAAGTCAGAGGAAAACAAAAGCAGCGTTTCATTCCTGAAGACATGAGAGAAGGAGAATGGTAGACTTGGTGGACATTTTGTAGATTTAATGTCTGCGTGCTCACGCTAAAGACCTAATTTATCACCATAATCTCTAATCAAGACCAACACTCTTCAGAACTCCGGCTTCAAAGACAAGGTCTCCAAATGGTGATCTCAGAGCATGGATGAAATTGGAAGAACTTAGCTGAACATGCCCAGTTCCGTACCAGAGAAGTACTTCAGACTAAGCACGTCAACACACGAATGAATAAAGGATTATGGTTTTGAAGATGAAGCCCCTAATGAATGAACAGCTTGAGCGACCACTTTAAAAGAAAATTTTGGGAAGCTCCAGTAATCACCTTTCTGGTGTTCTTGGACAAAGGCACTTGGAACTTTACAAAGTATTTCACAAACATAATCCCATAGGTTATGATGGGGAAAAAAGACGACAACTGAACAGCTC